CTCGACACTCGTATCTTTTCGAGAGTCGAGTGCCCTTGGGTTTTCCGGGCGTGGTCCAACAACGCGGGCTGTTGAACGCAAAAACGTGTGTGTGTGGGATTTTTTTTCACGCTTTTTTGCAAATTTCAATGGACCCAAAAAGTCGAACTTCGAACTATCCGCTTGTTCGATGTTCGATGTTCGACTTTTCCAAAAATTACGTAGGACCCACCCTTACGCGGGACACACAGAACCGGGCGAACCGGGCGAACCGGGCTCTTTGACAAGTAAGTCCCGCTAAACGGTTGGTCCTGCCCCAGCAGAAGAAGCCACTCGAAATCAACACCCCAACTTTGAACCTCGGTCACGAGCCTTCCCATCTGCTGGCGAGGCATGTCCGCTGCTGGGGGTGCCTCCCAGGTGTCAAAACGCAAGAATCTCAACAGTTTGGAACGAGAGGAGGTGAACCTTCCCATCTGCTGGCGAGGCATATCCGCTGCTGGGGGTGCCTCCCAGGTGTCAAAACGCAAGAATCTCAACAGTTTGGAACGAGAGGAGGATTATTAACATCTATCTCAACAGTTTGGAACGAGAGGAGGATTAACTAATCCTCCTCTCGTTCCAAACTGTTGAGATTCTTGCGTTTGACACCTGGGAGGCACCCCCAGCAGCGGATATGCCTCGCCAGCAGATGGGAAGGTTCACCTCCTCTCGTTCCAAACTGCTGAGATTCTTGCGTTTTGACACCTGGGAGGCATCCCCAGCAGCGGACATGCCTCGCCAGCAGATGGGGAGGCTCGTGACCGGAGGTTCTTGTAAATTGTTGCTCCCAGCGAGGAGGAGCAGAATCACCTCCTCTCTTTCCAAACTGTTGTTAAGATTCTTGCGTTTTGACACCTGGGAGGCATCCCCAGCAGCGGACATGCCTCGCCAGCAGATGGGGAGGCTCGTGACCGGAGGTTCTTGTAAATTGTTGCTCCCAGCGAGGAGGAGCAGAATCACCTCCTCTCTTTCCAAACTGTTGTTAAGATTCTTGCGTTTTGACACCTGGGAGGCATCCCCAGCAGCGGACATGCCTCGCCTGCAGATGGGAAGGCTCGTGGCCGGAGGTTCAAAATTGGGGTGTTGATTTCGAGTCGCTCGCTGAGGGAGGTAGACGTGTAGTGTGTGGATTTGTAAACGTACAGCAGTGAGAGGTGGTGCCGAGGAAGTTCTAAAAAGGAGGAGCAAATATATTTGGAAATAAATATAAATTGATATGCTGTGAACAATCAATGCAGTGAACGATGTTCAGAGTGTCGACTTTGTGCGATCACTGCTGCTGCTGTAAAGAGCGAGGTTTCAATACCGCGACCACCTTCATAAAGGTTGAAACTCCCCAACGTCTGTCGAGGACGAAACCCTCTTTTCCACATTGATTGGCCGACATTTCAACACCGCTTTGGGGGCGACACGGCGCTATCCACACGGCAACCCCCCCCCTCCCCCCCCACGAACTGATGCCGGAGCTTCTCAGGTGGACGTTCAGGGCGTTGCTGCCTTGCACACGCCCACCAAGCCGTTTCTTTCCATCACGGGATATATTTCCAGCATCCGTAGTTCGTTTCTCCTGCGTTTTTCTCATGCCGGGATACCATAAAAAACCTCGATTTCCACGATTTTTGAAAACCCGGGGAGACCAGCGAACCATCCTCCGTTTTTGAGCAATTGTTATTTTTTTAAATCCTTTTCGGTGCCCGCTGCAAAATCAAGCCTCTCCGACCTCCCGCAACCTCTATATGGCCTTCCTTATAAATCGTAGAAACCGATCATATATATTCCGGGTCCCCCAACCGATCTTGTATTATTTCCGACCAGAGGGAGTACTTCACAACGAACGCTAGAAGAGACAAGGCCATCTGGGCACAGAAAAAGAGATAAAGAAGGGAGGAAAAGGATAAAAGAGAAAATAGGGCTGAAAAAGCAAGGAAACAGGGAGGAACGAGAAAATAAAACGAAAAAGAGCGAGGACAACAAGGGACCAGGCCAAAAATAACAAGAAATATGCAAGGGGCTCACCTCCCATACATATTGTTGTTGTTGACTTCACATTAAACCGTATGCCAGCTACTAAATGCCAAAATCTAGCAAAGACTCTCGGCCCGTGGTCACGAAAGTGCTAGAGCCATCTGAGGATCTACAGAACACGCACACGTAGCAAGAAAAAGGTGTACGTACAAGAGCCCGAAGAGGTACTACTACACCTATATATATATATATATATCCCTGCAGCACCGTACGCGTGCCCAAAACTGAACTACACGTCCGTCTCACCGTTCGACTACTACAGCAACATCACCCCCTCCCTGTTCCACTCTGTACCAAAACGAATGATTGTCGACTACTGCAGCATACTTGCTGTCTGAAGCGCTGTCTGTACAAAAACACCATGGTAGGCATGGAACAAGAAGCTGGCGGGGCACAAAGCTGCTGTCTGAAGTGCTGTCAGAATGTGTCTGCGGACTACAACCCATGTCTAAGCAAAAGCTTGTCGAGGAGCGAGGAGAAGAAGGGAGGATGTACATAGGGGTCCAACAAAAGATAATTAAATTATTTCGCGCGAAGCGCGAATTTGTTGGAGAATTTTAAGCATAAAAACACGCTGATTTGGTGCACGTATACAGTTGTTTTGGTGCCCGTACAACACAGTTGTTGCGGTGCACGTCAGCAGTAGAGTTGGCTTTGCTCGTGGAGGTGAGGATAAGCGCTTCTGGGCTTGCTATGCGTAACCTTTTTGGTCGGGATAAACGTACATGTGATATGGTTTGAAAACTCACTAGCATCAAGATCAGAGAGCGCGCGAACAACCACGGCCAAACCCAAGCCCCTTGCGTTTCTTCCCCTTTGCTTGGGTTTCTACCTCAATCCCACCTCCACCAACGTCAAAGCCGCCACCACCAATGCCATCCTCATCGTCATCACCAACGTCCACCATCTCTGAATCATCTTCCCAGGCACACGGTGGAGAGATGACCAACGAACAAGCAAACCCGCCTGCACCCCTGTTGGATGTACTCACAGAATTGACAGATTATTGCAACCGAGGAACGTTCCGAGAAGATGGAGCGGGGAACTTTTGGGGTTCCGCAGTTGTGGTTGTTGTTGTTGACTTCACATTAAACCGTATGCCAGCTGCTACATGCCAAAATCTAGCAAAGACCCTCGGCCCGTGGTCACGAAAGTGCTGGAGCCATCTGAGGATCTAAAGAACACGCACACGTAGCAAGAAAAAGGTNATTTTCGGTGTTGGTTCTATGTGATGACGTCGTCACTGGTTTTGTAGAGAGACCCGTCAGAGATGGCGTGGCTAACCCGGGTGCCTTGGTTATGTGCCTGATCGTGGAAGACCCCTTCAATGTGGAACGATTCTTAGCTATTGTCGATATTTTCACTGCGTGCCTAACACAGACGATCGGGAGAGGTTCGGGTGATTGTCCATTGCAATCATGGCTTTGGTTGGTTGTTCTTTTTCACTGTACGTACATTCTGACATTCTGACAGCACTTCAGACAGCAGCTTTGTGCCCCGCCAGCTGCTTGTTCCATGCCTACCATGGTGTTTTTGTACAGACAGCACTTCAGACAGCAAGTATGCTGTAGTCGGCAATCATTCGTTTTGGTACAGAGTGGGACA